CGATTTAAACCTCAGAATAGAGGCTAGAACAATCGAAAGAAAAAACAAACATGTCACTACATCACATCGTCTTGCACATGTACCCATGAGATCGTGACCAAAATTCTTCAGGTGCTGTTTCTCTCAGGTGAGCTGTGTAATTACCTAAGGTGCTTAACGCGACGACGTCACAGCGCAGTGCCCGAGTCGCGTGCCTGAGACGGGGGTTCCCAGTCCAGTAGCTTATGTGGGTCTCATTCCCTCCGACTACCTTATCCCGAGAACGTGGTTGGCTGCACGGCACGTGGGCGACATACCCCGGTCGAGTGCTGCGCTGAGGCACTGAGACAGCGGTTATCTTGTGACCGACGTCCGACAATCGAAACCATCGGATGCCAACGCCTCAAACCTAAACCTTTCCAAAGAACGACCGCTCGCGATAAGACGATTTGACCGCCTCTCCCGTCTCTCGATGCCGTCTTCTTTCTGGATTCAATAACAGCGCTGTGCGAGGGAACTATGACCGGCCGATCGCCTTCGTCTTCCGGCCTTCTTCCCATGCCTGGATCGCCATCGTCGTCTTGGGCAATGTACCGCGCCCGCTTATCTGCTCTCTTCCGAAATGCTGATACTCAGGTGATCGTGGCCTTTTGGCTACTGGGTGCGCTTTCTTGACCTCTTTGCGCTAGGTCTGTCTTTATGCTGACATGCGGGATAGGCCTCATCAACAATGTCCTCTACGTAATCATCCTCTCCGCCGCCCAAGACCTCGTCGGCTCGTCGGTCCCCAAAGGCGTGGTCCTCCTCGCCGATGTCCTCCCCTCCTTCTTCACGAAACTGATCGCCCCCTACTTCATCCATCGCGTGCCCTACTCCCTTCGCGTACTGGTCCTCATCGCCCTCTCTTGCTCGGGCATGCTCCTGGTCGCCCTCACGCCGCCTACGAAATCCGTCGCCGTGAAGATGGTCGGCGTCGTCATCGCCAGCCTCAGCTCCGGTGGCGGCGAGCTCAGCTTCCTCGGGCTGACGCACTACTACGGCCCCATGAGCCTCGCGGGCTGGGGCAGCGGGACGGGTGCGGCGGGTCTGGTCGGGGCGGGTCTATACGTGGTGCTCACAGACTGGTGGGGCTTCAGCGTGCGGAACAGCCTGTTGTTCTCTGCTTGCTTGCCATCCATCATGTTCGTGAGCTTCTTCGTCATATTGCCAAAGGGGCCGCTCAAGGCGGGGCGGAAAGAGTACACGGTTGTGCCGGAGCAGGATCTGGAAGAGGAGGACGTTGAGGAGCTGTCGCAGAACGCCGCGTCGTCGGCTCTGCTTGCGCCGGGACCCGCGACCACTTCGACGGCGTATTCGGTACAGCACACTGATGCGCACAGCTTCCAACACAACTTGAAGAGGGCAAAGTCGCTTTTCTTTCCGTATATGCTGCCGCTTTTACTGGTATACATTGCCGAGTATACCATCAACCAGGGCGTTGCGCCGACACTGCTCTTTCCGCTGGCGTCATCACCGTTCAAGGAGTTCCGCGAGTTTTATCCCATGTACGGATTCCTGTACCAGCTGGGCGTCTTTATTTCGCGGTCTTCGACGCCGTTCTATCGGATCCACCGCCTCTATCTACCATCGCTGTTGCAAATCGCCAACCTCGTGCTCCTGACGTGCCACGCGTTATTTGACTTCATCCCGTCGGTGTACGTGGTGTTTTTGATTGTGTTCTGGGAGGGACTGCTGGGAGGCGCGGTATACGTCAACACCTTTGCGGAGGTCATGGAAAAGGTACCGAGCGAGGACAGGGAATTCAGCTTGAGTGCGACAAGTGTGAGTGACAGCGGGGGTATCTGCATTGCCGGGTTCGTCGGCATCGTCATGGAGGTGCAACTTTGCAACTGGCAGGTTGCGCATGGGCGGGATTGGTGTCGCAAGATCAAGGTTGGATGAGAGGTGCTATTGCTGTGCAGCACCTGGGCAGCGGCCTGTGTCGAGCGTGGGGGCCCCGCGACTGGAGAGGGTTCTGGTACGATATCTCGCAAGGAGGGATTGTCCCGTCGTCTACGATACAATCCGGGAACGGGCGCTTAGGTTACACGGGTTCGGGCCCGGGGGTTGGCCGGACGGGGGCGTTGATTAACGACGCTCAGCGCGGCGTGACACAACTTTTATTTCCTTCCCTTTTTGATTCGAGAACATTGTGATCACTTGGGAGCGAAGTGCATTTCAGGCGTCAGCCACAGGATAGAACGGTCGGGGACTCCCTTGTCTCACTGGATTCGGCAATGCATGTCAATTGGGGAATAGCAAAAGACATGTGTGGATGGGCATGAAATCAAGCCAGGGCCCAGGGTGGTGAATGAGGCTGTTCCGACGTCAGACATTGAGCCACTTGCACGAGGGTCCACAAATACGTTTATAGGGGAGAATGGGCGCGCAATCGCTTGATTTTCTGGCATGACTTTTTCCCCGTCTGGTTGAAGGAACAGCTGACACAACATGCCATGATGGGTCCCCCTTTTTGTTTTTAATACCACAAATCATCAATGAGATCAATTAGATGAATCTTACTGGCAAAGGACAGATGCTAGATTCCAGATTCAAGTTTCAGTGATTTGCTCATTGCACCATGATTCATGGTGGTTGAAGAGATTTCCCGGGCCAATTGGGCGTTGATACGTTTGTTCTCGGGAGGGTCCCGGGGGGGGCTAACGTTAGGGACAACGCTGCATGGCAGACTGGACGGTATGTTCCAACGGCGTTGCACTGACCGCCGGGCGGCCATTTGTTTGCATTGTTTTTCAACTTGGCGCGGAAAAAATTTAGTAGGTAGAGAAATGGAAAGCTGAACTGATCAAAGTAGCTTAGGCGGACTTGTTCCGTGTCCGGTGTTGCTGCCACTTTACGGCGGTCAGCGGCGAGTGAGCGGCCAGCGACCGACCCGAGAAATTTTCTGATTCGCAGTCATTTGTTCTTCGGCGTCTTCTTGTATTAGCTCCCCATTCGCCTCGGGGTCTTAGTCTCGGTGGTAATTGTAGCCAAACGTTCATTCATGTAGGAAATGATATTTGTTATCCGCCACTACTCTGGGTCCATTTCCTTGAAAATTTCTCGCCTTCTCTACCGTAAGGTCGCTTAAGGTGAGGCGTGCGGTCACCGGTGTAAGGCAGAGAAGGTAGTCACCGCTGGGCCTGTTCCGGTTCATCTTCGCCCAGAGTTCTGAGTTCTCTTACACTGAGATTTGGATCTGGCAGTCTCTTTTGACCAAGATTCTAGGGCTCGCCTTACCTGCACGACACGATACAATTCTCCTTCCACTTCACCCCTGCTTTCATCGAACACAGATGGTATCATCAACCCAGATACCTATTCTAGCAGTCACCGCTTTCTGGTCTGGTACTACCTTATTCCCACGGCCACCTCATCCGAATACACCTCCAAGCTCCGAATAGGCCTCAGGTCTCATTCACCTCATCTAGAGCTCGACCCTGAGCTTCTGAAGTGCCAAGTGGTGCTAGATTACGGATCCAATATCCGTCGTTCCTTCCCCCTGCAACCTTCCCGCGCCCCTGCCGCAGCTTCCATTTCCATTCTCCATCCCACCTCGACTTCGACCTGAGGCTCGGCCTGCGTTGCTCGTCCGTTGCCTCATTCGGCTCTGACGACCCAAAGCCTGAGGAAACGGAAAGTGATACCACCACCGCCCTTTCCTCTCCTTCCCCTTGAAAAAGGTGCCGCACCTCGACCGGACTTTTTATATCTTTAACTTTCTCTGGATTCTTCTAATCCTTCCACCTTTCTACCACCTTTTTCTCTCTTACGAAAAGAAGTCTCACGCTTCTACTCTTCACACCTCTTCCATTCACACATATTCACACCCGTAAGCGCTTCGGGCACAACTACATAATGGACGACACAGTCGAGCACAACGGCATGGGTGACCTATATGACATGCCACATACCTCACCACAGCCGGCTTCCCTCATCACAGATCTAGCAGACCTGGACCTCTCCGAAGAAGTGAAGCCACGCACATTCCACCTCTTCAAGGACCTTCCGCCCGAGATCCGCATAAAGATATGGCGTCTCGCGGCACCCAAGCCCACTGTCGTGGAGCGTATATCCAATAGCACGACCTTGGCCTATGGACTTCACCGCCCTGTCCCAGCACTCCTGCAGGTCTGCCAGGAATCTCGCGCCGAGATGCTCTATGATCCTGAGAACCCGCGTGGTCTGAGAGACGAGCAGTTTGAGATGCTGCATCTCTCCAGAGGACACCAGGCGCAAGGCAAGGGTGCGTACATGAATTATCGCCATGATACACTCTTGATCTATAGAGGTGAGTTTTGCCTTTCACCCAGTTATCTCACTTTCCAAACAAAGAGGGAAATCTTCAAAGACTAACACATTCACAGGACCGGCTCAGTCAATTATGCCCAGTGCTCTCTCCTTCATCAACCTCCGCCATCTTGCCATGGAATGGGGCCTCCGCCCCTGCTGGGTGCAGGACCACTGCCACAAGGGCGTCCGTCTCCTCCGGCAGTTCCCCAACCTCAAGACGATCACGCTCCTTGTCACCTTTCATCTCTTCAACGCGCTGCCTCTGGGCGAGTCAGGTAGAAAGCACCGCGAGCAGACGCAGAAGCGCCGGGCGCTCAATGAGATCAAGTCGTGGGTTCTTGGAGAGATTGATCAAGCTTTGGAGCAGGACGCCAATGCTCGTGCTGCCGCCGCTGCCGAAGCTGCTGCCAGCAATGACGCCAATATCGATACTAACTATGACCCTTCATCTGAGTCTATATCCACAACATCAGCTGCGCCTCAGTCTTCTACACGCACCACTGTGTCTCCGGCTATCTGGAACCCACCCGAGGTCAGAGTCGTCCCAAAGACAAAGTACTGGAGCATGCCGGCGTCGGCCTAGAACGCCCCGGACGACATTGCTTTCCAGACTGCTATCCAAATCTTAATCGATGGATCTCGGGCTCTCGGCGAGCCAAATATGGATATATATATCCCATGGGAAGTCATCAGCCGTGTTCATCGTTAGTGTCCCGCCAGTCAGCACTCCCTGGGGGTTCATGGGTATTGGCGGCGGAATGATACCCGTAAAAGAGGGAGAGGGCGGCGGTTCTCATGGCACGGTGGAAATCATAAGGAAACATGATGATCTGGGTTATGGGGACATGAGGGAGCGTTATTCTCTTTGAAAGCATAGCATTGGGAAGGGCTGCGGCATCAATGGGGCCCAGGCAAAGGGCCATGGCTTTTGCATTCATGAAAAAAAGGGCATAATGGGGCGTTAACCTTTGATTTTCTTTGATACCAAGTCGATAAATGCATCGATTACACACACAACACCTCTCAGTTCTTACCTCTATGGTATATTGATGGGAATAATGCCCTATCCTCCGTACATGTATCGTTCCGAATGCATTGAAACGTTTGACATCTGAGTGTGTGAGGGTGTTGGTAAGAGCCTCAGGACGGGTACGGGTTGTGACGCTGTTGAGTATGATCATTCAGGGGAAGGGCCTATCGGAGGAGGGGCTGTTGTACCGCTGCAAGTACGGCCTCGACCGACTTGGGGGCTTTGGCAGTGTGGTACGGATACAATGCGCAATGCACTTCAGGCACCGGGTGGCCCCCACGCCAGCGATACCAACACTGAGAATCGCAGCCAGAGTGCATCTTGGCAGAAAGTACGAGGTGTTTTGGTCCAGGCTGCTCACCGCATTCATATCGAGGATTGATTGTCTAACTTCTAAAACGGGATTTGGTTCCTTGCCATCTCCGAGATTCAGGTACGGCAGGCGCCTCGGTGCAATTTTCTCGTGCGAGTGCGAGGCGCGATAGGGGACCATTGTTCGGGAATACGATGGGTGGGTTCGGAGGACGGAGGGGGAGCTCGGTCGGATCTTGAGGGTGCGTTATCCAGATGGGGTCTTTTCGGATTGTATTGGTTTTTGAATGGTCTAGGCTTGTTTTTATGGGTCATGCTCTTCTAGGGTACTAGGAGGCTACCATGGGATAGTATGTTGGCTAGAACGGAACAGAGGGTCTGTACTCTTTTTGCTGCATTCGCGCATTCGCATATGTATTTAGGTTTCGGTGAAGGGCCTGGTTGGTGAGCTGTCGCGCGATGAGGGGGCGTGTTAGTCCTGTTGGTGGCTATTGCTCTTCGATTGGACTGCTAACACTCAAGATCTCCTGTCTTACTGCAAAAGGCATAGTAATCGCCCTTCTGCACCTTTCTAAATCCCTTCCCTCGTTGCTGTTGGGCTCCCTATATAAGGGGGCCAATATAGATATACGCATCGGGAAAATCTGGGGTGGACAGCGGTGTCTCTCTTACGCATCGTGACACCCAAGGTAAAGAGCGAAGATCCAACGACAGGCCCGCAAACCGGAATCTCTCTTCATTTGCTCAACTCGCTCATCGAATTGTTCTGGAAAGCTTCCACGCATGTTCTTTCCGACTTCTACAATCGTAGAAATTTGGGGAAAAGGAAAGGGAGGCATACTAAGAAGGTAGTGCTTGGGGAAAGTGATGCACCTATGACGCACCTGCCCTCACCTTACGCTCTTTCCCCAGATTCGCTCAAGCGTCTTGGTGTCGTCACCGTCCAATTGCACGGCAGCCTCCAAACTTCAACTTCAACTTCATCGCATGGTCTAGCCATTTTGACGCACAACACTGAGATCATTCACTGCAAACGCATCCTGTCGATAAAAAGAAAACCCTATATCAAAAGAGACCGGGATCAAACAGCTCCTACACTCTCCCTCATAACACCACAATGATCCCCGCAAGACCTCTCCCCCTCCGCCGCCTCGCGGCCGCGCGACCCGTTTCCGGACTCGGAGCCACGACGGCACCCTTCGCCGCGGCGCGCCGGGTTGAGGGCCAGGTCCGGTGGAGCACGCATAACCCCAAGGAAGGCGACCTCGGTGGACCCGGTGGGCAGGAGCCTGTGCCGTCTACGAGCAGTGCCGCGCAGAGCTGGTGAGTGCACCCCGTCTCATGTGACAAGAGTCTAGAGGGAATTCTCTTGTTGTTGGAGGTGTGTCCATGGTCCTGTGTTAACGTGTTTTGGGGACTAGGCCGACGTTGGTCGCTATTGCTGCTGTTGGACTCGGTGTTGGGAGCTATCTTGTTCATATGACGGGTAAGTCCAAGGGGCAGGGGACGGTGATGGAGAAGGGGGAGTTTGATAAGTTGGCGGAGAGGGTTGCGTCGAGGAAGTAGAGGGTGTTGGGTCGGTGGTTGGGTCTGGATGGGTTCAAACTTGGGTGAGGTTTGAGGGATGTTAAGGCCAAAAGCTGTCAAGGACCTGTGTAATTTCGAGATTGTAACCGAGCTTGCAGGTTTTCCGGACAAGGATTGAGTCTTTCTAGCGACGGAGGCCGATTATTTGACATTGAAGTTGAGGGATTCAGTTCATCTGATTGAGGATGCACTGGTGGCGACAGTTCTACATACAGGACCTAGGATAGGCATACTTTACCCGTCAACAGGTTGTCTTACCTCACTCGCTGCAATTTCGAATACCTGGAACATGGATGTCAAGACTACGTTTCTCCTCGCCAGTCCCATGACGATCTTTTAAACACACCCGAGACCGGTGCAAGACTTTCTGAGAGGCATCCCCACGTTGACACCACGTCGCCTTTATTATTCCTTCACGGGCATTCCTATTGTCAAACTTGATTCGAGTTTGAGTGCGCCATCACTCTGGTTGCCCGAGAAAGTACTAGCACAACCCAAACCATGGCTTCACCTGATTATTTATCTCCTCAACTTATAGACTAAGGCAATAGAGGCTTACAACTCCTCGATGGCCTCATCTTATGTTCTTTCGGCTGATTCAACTTGGTTCAGCTAGGAGTCTCATGAATCCTGTGGAGACGTTGGTCTTTTGTCAAGGAGAATGTGTCTTTCCCGAATGACTTATTCTCCTACACATAAATTGTCAACTTGTTCGGTAAAACCGGCCGTTGGCCTCCAAGATAGATTCGACCTCGATCAGTAGGGAATTAGGGACATCGCGAATGCCAGCAACGGCAGAATTAAAACAAAAAGAATACGTGATAACCTGGATCAACGTTCGATTTGTAGAAGAAAGAAAAAATGAGGTGAGGTCAAATCGGACGAGGAGGAAACAGAAGCATAGCCGCAGATAATACCTATTATGAATTCTGCATCTTTTCGTCAAGGGGGGCGCTGTAAATGATTGTGATACCAAGATCTACCGAGCTTAATAGCAGCGGTATAAACCAAGCATGTTCGTCTCAAGTTCATTGCTCGAAGTTTCATTGGACATGGTTTCGTTCTTTCTTAATGTTGTTAGTGGAGCATCCGATGCTTATTGTTCTCTTACTTAAGCGGCAACTCATCCAGACCCAGTCGAGAAACCCACATCGAAAAGTTGTTTTCGGCCCTTTATTCATTCAACAACTCAGAATGCGAGCATGACACACATGGGGCTTAGTATTTCCTTAATTCCCTTGATTGCTTAGAAAGCCATAGCTCAGACCCGTTGTTGCTTGTTTTTTCGAGGGTTATGCCCACCTTTTGTATCTGTATTTCCGTAAACCCGTGATTTCATCAGATAGAACTTGCAGGAGTGTTGCTGAGATCCACATATGCGAGATCCTTTCTTGATAGACATCACTTGGCGGATGCATTTGGCAACTGAGCTTAAAATTTAATCGCCGTACCGTAGTGCACAGCGCTATATCGAAGCGACTGTCCAGAATAGCACTTTGAGCATGGAAAGGCCTCCATTGTGTGAGGTTGCAATCGTTTTCGGGCATGACGTATGATGCCAAAGCTTTCCATGGTTGCCGTCCTCAATTTTGGACGACAGTTGCCAAAATAGTCGCGGGAGCATGATTCAAACGTCCGCCACCCTGTTGCGCACTCTCCTCTCTGCTCAGCCCTCATTGGCCTTACGGGGCTATGCTGGTGAGCCACGAGTAGGAGCCCCCTGCAGGGGTCCCGCCGATCTACGCAGATATTTCCGCAGCGACGGGTTCCAGATCCCAGGAACGTTGGGTTTCTGATGGTTGATAAGCATCTCGCGCCGTCAACTACCGGTGGATCGGTCCGATCAGATATGCCCTCATTGCTCTCAGCGGTTGTCGACCGGCCAATGGCATTCAGAACCGCTGAGCCCCAATTGTAACTCGGCTTCTGCGGCTACGCCGTACTCCACCCTGCCGAGTCTTGAGTAAGTTGGCCCGTATGGATCGCACTGACGAAATGGTAGGGAGAGCACAGCTTTTTCGGTCAGCTCTCGGAGGGTCATCGCAAAATCCGGTTTGACGAGGATGGTAGCTGTTTGTATCCGCGCGGGTGACGTGATTGAGGGATTTCAAGAGCTTGGATTGGTTGCGATATTGTTGAATTCTCTCCTTTGGTATTCAATGATATAAACGCAGGCCTTCGCCTTCAAGACTTTGACGTTGGTTCGATAACCATCTCAGTGAACATTCTTTCGCCGCACTTACACTCACTCTAGACTTCAACCTTGTATATACAGCTATGCGGGGCTTCCTCACCACATCTACCCTCCTCTCTGGAGCAGCGGCCTTGGCTGTTCGCTATAACAACGGTTCCAGCAATGGCTACGACTACATCGTCGTCGGAGGCGGCACCAGCGGTCTGGCTGTTGCCAACCGTCTTTCAGAAGACCCTGCCGTGTCTGTCCTGATCATCGAGGCCGGTGGCTCAGTATTCGACAACGTCAACGTCACCAACCCCAACGGGTACGGTCTTGCCTTTGGCACCGACATCGACTTTGCCTTCCAAACGACCAACCAGACTTTCGGCGGCAATTCAGTCCAGACTATGCGTGCTGCCAAGGCTTTGGGAGGAACCAGCACTATCAACGGTTTGTGGCGATCATCGATCAAGAAAGACTGGACTCAGATGCTAACACCCTGAAGGACTGGCCTACACCCGCGCTGAAGCCTCCCAGATCGATGCATGGGAGCAACTTGGAAACGAGGGCTGGAACTGGAATTCTCTCTTCCCTTACTACCTCAAGAGCGAGCACTTCCAGACCCCGGAGCCCGCTCGTCAGGTTGCCGGTCGTCTCGAGTACGAGGCTGATGTCCACGGCGAAGACGGACCCCTCCTGACCGGCTGGACCTACGGCCAGACCAACGGAACCATGCCCGCCGTCCTAAACTCGACCTTCCAGAACCTCGGTCTGCCTTGGAATGAGGACGTCAACGGCGGAAACATGGTTGGCTTCTCCGTCTTCCCCCGCACCGTCGACCAGGCCAACGCCGTCCGTGAGGATGCCGCCCGCGCCTACTACTACCCCTATCAGAACCGAACCAACCTCAAGGTCCTTCTGAACACCAGCGCCCAGAAGCTCACCTGGAAGAACACCGCTGCTCTCCCCACCGCCGATGGTGTTCAGATCGTCTCCGCCGATGGCTCCAGCAGCGTCGTCAAGGCCAACAAGGAGGTCATCCTCTCCGCCGGTGCTCTTGTTTCCCCCTTGCTCCTCGAGCTCTCCGGTGTCGGCAGCGCCAACGTCCTGAAGCAGCACGGCATCAAGACCGTCGTCGACCTCCCTACCGTCGGCGAGAACCTGCAGGACCAGATGAACAACGGCCTCTCCTTCGACATGAAGAACATGAGCATCGACGGCACCCTCACCACCGTCGCCTACCCCTCCGTCGCCCACGTCTTCGACAACGCCGACGAGGTCGCGGCCCAGATCAAGGAGGCCCTTCCCGCCTACGCCGCAAAGGTCGCCTCTGTCAACGGCAACGTCACCCGCGCCTCGGACCTCCTGGAGTTCTTCCAGCTGCAGTGGTCCCTCATCTTCGAGTCCCAAATCCCCATCGCCGAGGTCCTCGTTAACGCTGGCTCGGGATCCTGGAGCAGCGAGTACTGGGGACTCCTCCCCTTTGCCCGCGGCAGCGTCCACATTGGTGGCAATTCCACCTCCCGCGCCGTCATCAACCCCAACTACTTCATGCTGGACTGGGATCTGCTCGAGCAGGTCGAGATTGCAAAGTACATCCGCAAGCTGTACAGCACCGCACCCTTCTCCACATACACTGGCACCGAGACCCGTCCCGGCACGGACGTCGTCGCTGCCGATGCCGATGATGTCGCGGGCTGGGAGAGCTACATCAAGGGCAACTACCGTTCCAACTTCCACCCCGTCGGCACTGCTGCCATGATGCCCCGCGAGAAGGGCGGTGTTGTTGACTCCAGCCTTAAGGTCTACGGTACCGCCAACGTCCGCGTTGTCGACGCCTCTGTCCTGCCTTTCCAGGTGTGCGGTCACCTTGTCAGCACCTTGTACGCTGTTGCCGAGAGAGCGGCGGACCTTATTGCCAAGAGGTCGTAGAGAGGCTATTGGTTCTCAAGATGACTCGGTCGAATTTCGACCACTTTCTTTCACACTTCTCAGTCAATATTATAAACCCAATTAGATGTTCATATCCATAGAGTAGAGTGTACAATAGTCACGCGACTTGGTCAATCAAATTCGAGTTTAGATCGTATCTCTATATCCGCATGGAAACCAATCCAAGGTCACTGAATCCTCGCATGGCTGTCGAAGATTTCTTACAGAAAGCTCCTAAGAAACGGTATAGACAACCTTCTCTCCACTAACAGGACGCATGTGATCCTTCGGCGGCTCATTGACCTGCTTCGGACCAAAGAGCGGGATGCCTTCCGATGCGATGTTCTCTAGTCCTCCTCGCATCATGCGAACCGGGTTTGCCTGCAACTTGACCTTTCCCAACGACGCTTCCGATCCGAGATAGTTATAGAACTGTGTTGCAAACTCACGGGCTTCGAGGTTGGCTGGGAATGTGATGCCTATAGATTGTCAACCAAGGAGGCCCATCACGGATCAGTTAGCAAAAAGCCTGAGGTCACTCACCTTGGTACTGGATCTCTACGCCAAGACCCTCCCAGACTGCACCTGTCACCGGCTTGATACTGAGCTTCGATGGATCAAACCCTGCGAGGGCCGGTGCTCGGAACACCGCCAGCTTTCCCTCGTTGACCAACGTATCATGCACACGTTCGACGGACGGAGACTGCGAGACCGCGTCTATGCCGTAATGGACTCCGCCACTTATGCCGCAGACTTTGCGTACCGATTCTTGCCAGTCAGCGTCTCTGTAGTCAACTAGCTCGTCGTACAAATAAGGGGCTTGGCGCAGCATGCCGTGTTTTGCACTGCTGGCGGCACCGATGAGACGGATCTGAGTGCCGAAAGTTTTCTCAGCCAGGCGCACAAGCTGTGCGGCAAAGAGACCTAAGGATGTTGTTGCCCCGTAGATGAAGACATTTACGGGCTCTTCGTTGGCGAGTCTGAGGTGGTCGAAACTTCGGGGTTGGGTGAATGGCCCCGGGAGCTCGAGTCGGCTGAAGACACCTTGCGCGGCTGTAAGTCCACACAAGCTGACAGTAGCAGCTTCTTGGAACGACATCTCGATGGGAATATTCCATGTGAGGTCATAGTCAATGACGACGTACTCGGCAAAAGCTCCCGGGCGGGAGTTGACAGAACAAGCTACATATCCATAGTCAATACATCAATGGTCTATTCAAACGTCCTGGGTTGTTCAACTGGCCGCCTTGAACGAAGCCAGCTACATGTGTTCCAATCTTGACACGGGGATCATCGATGTTCTGGATGTCTGTGCCAACACTGGCGACCTCCCCAGCGAAGTCACTACCGACTACACGGTACTCTTGTGCCGCAATTGGCTTGTTTGTATAGAGCGCGTCCACATGATTGAGCGCAACTGCTCTGACGCGGACGAGAATTTCTCTTGGTCCAGGTTCCGGAGCCGGGATATCTTGTACAGCAACGGATTGATCCTGTGATTTTAAAATCAAGGCTTTCATGGTGATATCAGGACCGCAACTTGAGGCTCGTTTTCGGGATCAAGGGATTGTGAATATCGAATGAAGTTTATTCAGATTTTCTCCAAGATGGATAATGATAGAATCTATATATGACTAGGTACTTAGGTACTTTACTATAGACTTAGAAGAAATCAAAAGCTAGATCATACGATCAAACAACTTGGCTTTCGAACTCGGTCTACCGATGTCGCGAGAACGAGCAAGTCCGCGGACTTGATGTGTAAACCCCGGTCTTCAAGCTGACGACATGGACTTAATTGCCCTGCTTTGTGAACTTAAGTCCGACCTTGTCTCCAGCACGCATAATCGGACCTTGCTTGAGTCAGTTATCGCGAAGGCTAAAAACTTGTAGTCTTCTGATCTTGGGAACCTTGAGAGGTTGCCACAAGACTTCACTGTTTAATCGCGTGGAGGTAAACAGCAACTTCAGGATTGAACATGCGATCTTCGACAAGGTAGTCCGCTGCCTCCACCAGCCATGTTTGGCAGTCCTTGAGAGTGACCTTTTTACCTGACGTATCCTTGAAATTTCTGTTAGTCAAGTATTCCGAAGGCATTGCAGAAACAGATGTTTGCAAAAAAGCACCTCTGAGGACCTGCCTACTAGGCAATCATACACGCATGAAGTGGTCTGTTCAGAGGTATTGCAGCCATTTGGAGAAGTCAAGCGAAAGCCTCACCTTATCTTCAACTGCATTCAAAGTCTTCCCAGGGGCCTTCGCTTTGTACGCACTAGCCTCAAAACCGCAGACAGGCCTCTCATCAATCTCTTCCACTCCCCAGTTGAGCATCGCGTCTGCTTTAAAGTGCTGAGCATCAACCCACTGCAGCGAAACTCTTTTTGTAGGGATATCTGAGGTGTTTGTGAGGTCATGACTGCGTTTGACCTCGAATTTGAAGCCATTACGCACATCACCGGTCGCGTGGATCTTGACACCGATATCATCATCGGCGCGAGAGCGTACAAAGTATGCCCAGTGATCTTTGAATGGCGAGCCATTGAAGATCAGTAATTCGACCAAGAAAGCTCCAGGGGATCCTGTCGGGGGCACGGTTGGCGGCGGTGGGGCCGGAGCCGGAGTTCGGGCCTTTTCGACAAGCGGCCGGGGCGGAGGTGGCGGAACATCGCCAGTGTGAGAGAAAGACATTCTGAGATAATTGGTGGCGTTTTTGAGTGTTTGTTACTCATGCCTTGTAAAACAGCTGACGTGAGTCTTCAATGTTGGAAGTTGAGGCTTCTTGATCTTGTTGGACACCTTCGTGCACAATCAGGCAGAAACAGCACGCGCTACGGACCCCAACACAATGTCTCAAGATTTCTTTGTTGCCTAGGGATCGCTTGAGCCACGCCACGCCATTGGCTCAGTGGATTCGGCCTGTATGTGTAGCCTTCATCGTCGTGTCTGGATGTTATAGTGACTAGAAGACGGTCAACGGGTGGAATGTGAAGATGAGCAAGAAGCTGCCAGTTGTTAAATGTTGCGGGAGACAGACTGTGATGTGACGAGCATTCGCTTTGTCAATGCAGCCCATCCATCTGCGGCGCTCAATGAAACAGAAGATGTCTAGGCGCTCTTATCTATTTATTCAATGCTTGGTCGCTTGGTGGTAATCTGACGTCTACTCTGTCCGAGGCTTCACCGAGAACTCGTTTCCACGAAAGTCAAATGCGAGGATTCGAAAACTTTACTAGGTTTGCAGAGGAGGCTATCACGTGAAGGAATTGTTTGTAGACTTTTTGGTTTAGGATATTGAGTCTAGGAATTTACTAATTTCGTTGAGGATATCCAAAGCAACGCTCGCTATATAAAACATGACATATTAAGATATTGGTATGATTTTCCCATGAAACATGAAACTGTAATGGTTGAGGCCATTAACTTATTGGGCCGCCGTCTCCTTTCCCTTGGACTCCTTCTTGGGCTTGGACGAGCCGGAGTTCCACTTCTTGACGCGGACGAGATAGTAAGAGATAACAGCAATGAAGATGTTGAAGAAAATGAAAGCCCAGACGATACCGAAGTTGCGCCAGCGCTCATCATAGAAGATGTTGCTGCCGGCCAAGTACTGATCGGCATTGCTGAGAGAGCAGTACCGGCAAGCCTCAGTAGCCTCGGGGTTCTGGAGCTGGCCGGGGGCGAGCTTTAGGTAATCCGCCAGGTACTCGCCGCATGTCAGGTTGGCAGGCGGGTTGAAGACAGAAGTCTCGGTGGCGGAACAAGTGACGGGTCGGCCGGACAGTTGGGTACCCACGATGCCAGCAACCCAGTAGGTGAAGGGGGACACGCGGTACATGAAGATCCAGAAGCCGGGGAGGGCAGTCGGGGACTGCAAGACACCGCAGAAGGTCAAACTCATGAGGACCAAGAGAGTAACCACACCTGAGGCGGTCTGGGCATCGGGGAAGGCAGCGATGGTCATGTGGGCGAAGGAGGACGCATAGATCAGGAGCTGGATGGCGTAGAGCATGACCAAGACCTGGCGGACGGAGCCCTGGATGCCGATGATGGGGTAGTAGAAGCAAGCCCAGATGAGGATACCGGTGACGATTTGGTAGGGGATTTCGACAATGATGTTGGCGAACATGAATGCCTTCCAAGAGTAAGCCTTGCTGGGGCGTTCGCGGACCTCGTAGAGGGCACGCTGTGTGACGAAGTGAGGCTGGATCTGCTGCACGATAGTGGAGAAGATGGTGATGACCATGAAGACACCAAAGACAACGTTTTGCATGCCGGCCATGGTACCATCGGCCTTCCAGAAGGAGAAACCAATGAAGAGACCTGCAGCGATACCGAGGAAGAACTTGGCGAAGACGTAGTTGGGCATGCGCCAGTACTGCTGGAAGACACGACCGGTGACCTCCATGAGCTGGGTGCTGAAGGGCATGGCAAACTCAGAGTGGGCACCAGCATCTTCGCTGCCAGCAACCTCCTCGTGCTGCTTCTCGAGGTGGATTCTCTCGATCTCGGCCTCGACGCCGTGGCGTTCATTGCTAGATTTCCAGACGCTGTGCCAGTCTTCGCCCCTGGAGTTGGTACCGTTGTTGACAATCTCGAGCATGTACTCAGCGGGGTTCTCCTCATCACCGCATCGGCGAGCGCCGTGGCCCTCGAAGTAGTTGAGAAGGGTGCGGGAGTTGTCGCCGATATCACCAAAGTAGACAGTCTTACCGCCGCGGGCGAGGAAGAGCAGGCGGTCAAATTGCTGGAAGAGGATGGCGCTGGGCTGATGAACGGTGCAGAGAACGGCTTGACCGGCATCGGCCAGCTTGCGGAGAAAAGCGCAGATGGCCCAGGAGCTCTGGGAGTCGAGACCACTGGTAGGCTCATCAAGGAAGAGAAGAAGCTTAGGCTTAGCTGCCAATTCGACACCGATGGTAAGAAGCTTGCGCTGTTCGACGTTCAAGCCCTCGCCGGGAACACCAACGACGGCGTCGGCAAAGTCGCGCATGTTGAGCATGTCAATAACCTCCTCGACGAAAGCGAACTTCTCCTCCTTGGAAACAGTCTTGGGCTGGCGAAGCATGGCGCTGAAGCGCAAGCTCTCGCGGACGGTGGCGGTAGCCAAGTGGAGATCTGGTTAATGTTAGTTGAATGTTCAAACAATGTTGAGAAGGAGAAGCCGCATACCTTGCTGCTGAACGTAGCCAGTCTTACGTTGGAAGCTGGCGTCAAGAGGCTTGCCGTTGACAAACATGTCGCCAGTGATGACACCCATGGTAGTTCGCTGAGCCAAGACATCGAGAAGAGTCGTCTTTCCGGCGCCGGAGACACCCATGAGGGCAGTGAGAGTTCCGGGCTTCACCCAGCCATCGACGTGGTCAAGCAGACGACGGGGTTCACCCTTGATCTCAATATCGTAGACGACGTCTTTCCAAGTGAAAATATCCTTCTGGGGCGGGATTGAGTTGACGTTGGCCTCAGTCTCCTGGTCCTTGGGAACAGCCATCTCCTCGTTGGTGACGCTGCGGTTGACGCCATCCTGAAGATGAGCAGGGACGCGGCCACGCTGGAAGACGAGAACCTCGGCGGCGCTGGTGGTGGAGGAGTTGAGCTCAGTAGCGACGAAGTAGATGATCATGAAGAAGAAGAGGAAAGCCAGCAAGATGCCAAAGTTGCGCCAGACGTGGGAGTAGTAGTACTGGTAGTTGGTCTCGATGAAAGCATCGCCACTGACAGTGCGCTGGCCAGCGACAGCGCCGACAGCCGAGCAGATCCAAGAGTCGCCAATCAGAGGAGTGTATGCGGGGATAATCTCGGAGCAGACGAACTCGCGACCGTGGAACTCGTTGGCGATGAGAATCTCGAAGGCGTAGAAGATGGGGTTGATCCAGCGAATCCAACCAAACCAGTCAACCATCTGGGGAACTCTGATGACAAAACCAGTGTAGATGACAAGAGCCAAGACAAGCACACCAGCCAACATCATAGCCTGAGAAATAGTCTTAGTGATGGCTGCCATAGTTCTGAAGACGGCGCTCATGACGAAGGTGGAGATATAGGTGATCAAGAAGTACAGGAAGAATTGACCGGGTTCCCGACGCAGACCAGCGAGGAAGTACAAGATGAGGTTGAAACAGGTTGCCGTGACGAACTTGATCGGGATATCTGCGACGATACCGGCGATAGCTTCAGCTGATGGATGATAGAAGGCGTAGGAAGCATGCTTTTCGACAATGGGCCGCTGATCGTATAAACTGTTGATTTCGGAAATAGCAGTGAGAGCGTTCATGAGAATAGCCTGGAACAAGACCGAACCCTTGGAGTAGAAACCTGAAGTAGCGTCAGGAGTGCCGTAGAAGACCGAACCGATGATGAGAGCCAAGATGATGTTGAGAACAGCCGCTGTAGCTGTAGCCGAGATATCGTTCCAAATACGCTGATAAGCGCGCTTCGTGGTAAGTCGCACTTGCATCGCCAAACTGATGAGGTAAGGAGACTTGGGGCGAACATGCTTCGCCTGTCTGTCGTTCTTCTGCTGGCGAAGCTCAGTGAGAGCATGACCGTGGGGGTCAATCGGGTTCTCGTCGGTGTGCTGCTCGATCTCCTGGCGGAGAGCTTGGTACTCGGGAGATGCACGCCAGTATGCCTCAAAGTCCTCGGGGGTTCTGGGAACCTGGTTCTCCATGCCCGGACGAGCCTTGCGCTCGATGGGGTTGGTGACCGAGGTCAAGAAGTCTCCTGTGGTCTGACGCTGGGGGCATTCCCAACCCATGCGCTCGAAGTAGGACTTAGCAGCAGTGGCAGGGCCGAAGAAGATCTGGCGACCTTCGTAAAGAACGACAGCCTTATCGAAGAGGTCATAGATGGCCTGACTGGCTTGGTAGATGGCAACAGCGTTGGCACTGCCGGTGAAGTCGGAGGCAAGGCGCAGCGACTGAACGAACTTCAGAGCGGTCGCGGAATCCAAGCCACGAGTACTGTTATCCCATGCGCACATGGGAGAGCCAGCAAGCATCATCTCAGCGATGGAGACACGCTTTCTCTCTCCGCCAGAGACGCCACGAACGAAGTCGTTTCCGACCTTGGTATTGTAGGTGTGGCTGAGACCACAGACTGCCATAACAACCTGGGCTCCTCTCTTGTGAGCCTCCTCGCGACTAAGACCCAAGGGTCTGTTGGATGGTGTGCGAACTGCGCCGGCAAATTCGAGTGTTTGACCGACGGTAAGATGGGGGAAATGTTTGTCAACCTGTGTCGAATGTTGTTAGTGAATATCAAACAAAACATTGGGGCGTGGGAACGAACCTCCTGATTGTAAACGGTTTCTCCCTTAAACTCCTTCATCATCTTCTTTTGTGGGATGCCGTTGTAGTGGATAACGGACTCGTCTCCAATGCTCAGACCCTGGAGTTCACCAGTCATCGTCTTCAGGAGTGTACTGCATCCAGAACCAGGGCGACCAAGAACGATCAAAAGCTCGCCGCTCTTGAGCAGGCCATCGAAGCTGTTGAGAATCCTCTTAGGCTCCTTCTTTCCGAAGCTAATGTGCTCGCCGATTCTGAGAGGTGCTTGAAGGAAGTCACCAACGGTCTGTTGCAGCTGCAAAGCAGCGCCAGTACCAGAAACGTTGAGATCCTTGTAGGCGACACCAGCATGCTTGAGGGTGATTCCCTCATTCTGCATGGCTCGCATGAAAGCCTGGAGCC